CAAGACCCTGCACTGTCTTGATAGGACTCACATGGAACCAGGAGGAAGGAAAACTGGCAGCTAGAAGCATATGATCTATTTTAACCTGGTTTTAAATGATAATATCCTATTCTCTAACATATTCTGTTTCTTTTCTGACTTCCTTCTTTTTTTTTTAAATATTCCAATTTCTTATGTGAGTGTCTTCTCTGAAGAATTTTCAGGGTCCCGTTTCATGTTTACATTTCCTATACAGAACCACTTTCCATTCCTCTCTCCTTGTTGCCCTGTGCTTTTTGTTGCTTCACCTCCCTGACCCCTGTTGTTTCTGTGCATGCTCTCCAATCATCCCTGCTCCGCGCAGGAATGCCTATTTTGCCTGTAGAGGCTATGGCTTTCCTCCCATCCTTAAGAACTTTCTTCATACAATTAAATACAAAGTAGCCCCATTCTCTGGCCTCTTGAAAGAGAGCAGGGCTTCCTACCCTTAAAGCTTCCTTATTAGACCATTAATTTGTTTTCATTCTAATGAGAATTTGTTCTCCATTTAAATGCGGCTTTATTTCTCCAGAACCTGAGAAATTTCAAGTGTCTGGAATGCATGATCAGAATAGTAGGGCTTTTCACTTTACACCCTACAATCTCTATTGTTTCTGGCTCATAACTCCTATCACTTTTATTGGCTCATTTCCTATTTTTATAAGAATATTCTGGACTTTGGCATGCTTAACCAGAGAAGCAGCCTTAATTATTTACTCTTACAGTTCAATTGTAATTATGTAACTTCTAATGGAGAATCTAGTCCCCCACCCCCACCCCAGAGAAAGGACGTCTGCCCCAGGCATGTCCTTAGGTGACTTTACTTTGGGGAGAATCCCCTTCTACTCCCCAGGAATGATCCATGATCATTTATTTTATTTTTTTGTGTGTGTGAGGAGATCAGCCCTGTGCTAACATTTGCCAATCCTCCTCTTTTTTGCTGAGGAAGACTGGCCCTGGGCTAACATCCGTGCCCATCTTCCTCCACTTTATATGGCTTGCCAAGCAGTGCGTTTGTCCGCGCCTGGATCCGAACCGCGAACCCCAGGTCGCCACAGCAGAGCGCGCGCACTTAACCACGCTTGATGGCCCGTCCCCCATGATCACTTATATACCAACCCAGCATCTTGTATCTTTCAAAAGTCTGCATTTTTAAAAAGATAAAACTTGATCTCTAAGTGGCTTCCTTTTACAGCTAATGAGCAGGAAGAGCTCCAGATGAAGCTTCTTTTGTCTGAAAAAGATATTCATTTTTCACTTTTAATCTAGTTTCTCTTGCCAAAATTACCTCCAGAGGCCCTGAGATTGCGGCCTCTAAGATGGGCCCCCATTATTCCTCCCTCCTGCCATTCACGCCCTTGTGCAATCCCTTCGCTTTGCGTCTGGGTTGGACTTAATCGACTCATGGGTTATGACTAGAGTACGGCAGAAATAAGGGGATGTCACTTCCGAGGTCAGGTTACAAAAGACTGTGGCTTCTCTCTTGGGCACCTTCTCTTGTGCTCTCTCATTCTTGCTCACTTGCTTGTTCTGAGGGAAGCCAGCTGCCACGTGGTAAGGACAGGTCCATGTTGCAAGGAACTGAGGGAGGCCTCCGACCAACAGCCAGCACAGTGCCCAGGCTCTCATCCCAACAGCCCTGGCGGAGGTAAATCTCGCTAATAGCTGCGAAGTGAGCCTGGAAGCCAGTCCTCCTCCAGGCGAGCCTTTAGAAGAAACTGCAGCCCCTGACACCAACCTCAGGAGAGGTCTGGAGCCAGAGGCGCCCAGCCAAACCATGTTCAGAGCTCTGACCCACAGAAATGGTGGGATAATAAATATTTGTTGTTTGAAGCCATTGAATTTGAGGATAATTTATTGTGCAGCAATGGATAACAATACAGGCCCTTGAGGCCAATTTTTCAGTTTTTAGTCTATGCTTTTTATATGATAAATTTCTGTTTAGGTCACTCTGATGTCAGTTTAATTACTCATATAAGATTTTCTTTAAATTCCTCTTTGAGAGTAGGGAATGGCCGTTGTCAGCCTTGTTCGTAACTGCTTATCCAGTGCCTAGCACAGTACCTGGTACCTGGAGAGATGCTCAATATATATTTACTGGATTTGACTCTTCTGTCTTTTTCTACTTGTCCTAGTTTATAAGTTACTCCTCACTTTTCACATTGCCATTTCTTTTGGGATTTAAGAGCTGGAAAACCTGCTGGTCTAGTTGTCTTGAGCTTTCTCTCCTTTAACCTGCTCTCCCTCCTCTAGAACTTCAACACTGCTGTCTCATTTGGAGCAAATTTGCATCACCCCACCCCATCTCAGGGTTTCTCCGGTGGAGCTGAGTCTCCTGGACTGGTGAAGCAGCTCTCTTTATCGAGGAGGTTGTGCTGCTTTGTTCCAGTTCAATCACCTGACCCCTAATCATCTGACGGAGTATGCAGTGTGTTTATTGTTTTTGTTTTTGTTTTGTGAGGAAGATTAGCCCTGAGCTAACATCTGTTGCCAATCCGCCTCTTTTTGCTGAGGAAGATTGGCCCTAGGCTAACATCTGTGCCCATCTTCCTCCACTTTATATGGGACGCCGCCACAGCATGGCTTGACAAGCGGTGCATATGTCCGCGCCTGGGATCCGAACCTATGAACCCTGGGCCGGCAAAGTGGAGCACACAAACCCAACCACTATGCCACCAGGCCAGCCTCTGTTTATTGTTATTTAAGAGTAAAAAAAATGAGGCCCGGAGATGTTGAGTGCTAAGCCTGAGGGTCACTTTGAAATTTAGAAGCAGAATCACTAGAACTCAGGTTTCCTGAAAGAGGAAACATTGTATCATATAGATTCAAATGTGAATTTTGGCTCCACCATGCTGTGTGACCTTATGGAAGTTATTCAACCTTCTTGAGTCAGTACCTCATTTGTAACATGGAAATAGTTTCTACTTTATAGGGTTGTTTTAGGCATTATTCTTGATCCAGCATTCTGTCCATTCCCCCATTTTAACTTAAATTTATAACTTCTTTGCAACAGGTTCACTTCATAATTATAATGATGGCATAAAGTTTTTATTTTGGTTGATAACTTAAATATAGCAAGAACACGATATATTTAATTGTTAGTAATATTATTACTAGCACTTTCCTTTTATTCCTTTAGTAAGATGCCAATGAAACCAACAAAAATATTACTTATTAAGATTCAGAATTTTCCTCCATTTGACTTTATTTGCTATACTGTCATAAATGGGATCAAATAATCTAATGTGACATAACTTTGGTGATTAGAGGACTGATTAATTGCTCTACTGTCTTAGTCATTTCAGGCTGCTATCACAAAGTACCCTAGACTGGGTGGCTCAAACAACAAACAAAATTTATTTTTCACATTTCTGGAGGCTAGGAAGTCCAAGATCAAGGTGCCGGCAGAATCAGTGCCTGATGAGAGCCCTCTTCCTGGTTCATAGACGACCATCTTTTTGTTGGGTCCTCACGTGGCGGAAGGGGCAAGGGAGCTCTCTGGGACCTCTTTTATAAAGGCACTAATCCTCTTCATGAGGGTTCTACCTTCATAACCTAATCACCTCCCAGAGGCCCCACCTTCAAGTACCTTCATACTGAGGATTAGGTTTCAACATATGAATTTCGGAGGGGCACAAACATTCAGTCTATAGCATCCACCATTTCTAAACTGCTTAGCAGTTAAGAAATAAGACTTTGTTAAAAAACAAAATTTCAGATCAAAATAAGTCTACTTCACAAGAAACAATAAGTGTTGGAGAGGATGTGGAGAAAAGGGAATCCTCATACACTGCTGGTGGGAATGTAAACTGGTACAGTCACTATGGAAAACAGTATGGAGATCTCTCAAAAAATTAAAAATAGAAATACCATATGATCCAGCTATTCCACTGGATATTTATTCCACTGGATAAATACTGGGTATTTATCCAAAGAACATGAAATCACTAACTCAAAAAGACATATGTACCCCTATGTTCGTCACAGCATTATTCACAATAGCCAAGACGTGGAAGCAACCAAAGTGCCCATTGATGGATGAATGGATAAAGAAGATGTGGTATGTATATACAATGGAATACTAGTCAGCCATAAAAAGACAAAATTGTGCCATTTGCAAGAACATGGATGGACCTTGAGAGTATTATGCTAAGCAAAATAAGTCAGTCAGAGAAAGACAAATACCATATGATTTCACTCATATGTAGAAGATAAACAAATAAACAAACACATAGATAAGGAGAACAGGTTAGTGGTTACCAGAGAGGAAAGGGGTCGGGGGGAGGACAAAAGGGGTAAAGGGGCACATGTGTATGGTAATGGATAAAAACTAGACTATTGGTGGTGAACACAATACAGTCTATACGGAAGCTGAAATATAACAAAGTAGACCTGAAATTTACACAATGTTATAAGCCAATATGACCTCAATAAAAAAATAAAATGTCTACTCCAGTTTAAATAAAAACATTGCTGAAATATTCATGCATACATTAGAAAGAAGACCAACACATGTAAATTACCCTATAAGTTTAAGTTGACAGAAAGATAAAGCCCTAAAGAAAAATTACATTTAAAATATATTATCTAAATATTTTTTGACTTAAGCAGCAAGTGCTCTAAAAGTTTCTTTGGCAAAGATTTAATATCAAAATAAATAAGACTAAATACATAATGATTCATAGTCTTAGAGGTTTTAAATGGTCATTTGCAACACAGTAGAACTGGGTGGTAAGGAAACCTTAGAGATTGTGCAGTTCAGTGTATTCATTTTACAGAAAAGGAAGCCAGGTCCAGAGAGGTTAAGTCACTGCCTAGTTAAGGACAGAAGCAGGATATGACCCCAGATCCCCGACTAACAGTCTGGGACTCGGCTCATGACACCAAGCTGCCTTTCATGTTGTTGTTTGTTTGTTTGCTTATTTTTTGAAAGAACATGTGTTCTCTCACTAATTGCAGTGGTACCATCATCTGCTTCCTACCTCTTCCTGGGACTGGTTAAATTGCTGTATCAGTTGTGTTTGTGCCTGCATTACTCTTTCCAATTCATCTGACTTCTGTTTCATTTCCTTCCTCAAATCCTCCGAAACTGAATTATTACTGTCAATTTCCTTCTTCAAGCGAGATTCAAATTCTGCAACCAAATTTTTGAGGTTTTCGATTTCTTTCTCCTTTGACTCAGATTCTTCAGTATATCGGATACGGGATTCATGGAGTTTTTCTTCAAGAATGGCCACTTCCAGCCTTAGATCTCTAGTAGCATCTGCGATTAAGTCAGATATCTGTAAAATAAATCTTATATTAGTTTGTAGGCAATAGTCTCTAAGTAACCACAGAGTTCTTATGGTTTTAAGAGGCTTATTCTAAATAATCAGTGTACTCTTCTGATCAGATGAAAACAAATTCTACGACACATGTAGGCCTTCAAGATTTTCTTTTTAAAAGTTAAGACTAAAACATTTATTTTTACCACCTAAAATGGAATTGCATTAATCTCCTGGGCATCCTTGGAAATATATGAATCTCTGTGACTGGACTGAGCTACCAAGGACAGCTCAAGTCTTGATCAGGTGCCTGTCTGGACTCACAGGGTGGCTTTGGGACCTAGAAATGCCTGATGTTTGGGGATGCTGGCGGGGAAGTACCACAGCTGTATTCTACTCATACCACACCAATAAGTTTTCCTTTGACAGTTTTTCTTTTTCTTTCTTGAATATAATGACGGGCAGTACCCCAGATACTACGTCTTCTATAGCAGCACTGCCCAACAGAACTTTCTATGATGACAGAAATATTCTGCACTGTCCAATATGGTAGCCACTAGCCACATGTGGCTACTGACAGTGGTGTGTTGGTAAATGTTTAACAATGGACTCACACACACAAAAAGCCAGATTTGCATCTAATTTCCAAGGTGTAAATTCTCTCACCATGGCTAATGCCAAGGTGACCTCACCGTCGCTAAGTCGGGAAGATATGTGCACAATTGGCTCTCAATTGCCAGTACTGGCTATTGAGCACTTGAAATGTGGCTATTGTGACTGAGGAATTGAAATTTTCATTTTATTTAACTTTAATTAATTGAAATTTAAGTGGCCACATGTGGCTACTATATTAGTGCAGTTCTAGAGGACACCAGAATACTTTGACACACATATACTGCTTCTCAAGGTGGTACTTCTAGATAAAGAGATGAGAGACTAACTTGGAGAAGCTTTTCCTCATAGTCATGAAAGTCTTTAGAAGGAAGCAGAAAAGACTGCTTGTTTTCTTTCTCCTTAAAAAAACAAAACAAAGAACAGAAAACAAACCAGGAATAGCAAAGCTGTTTCTGATGAAACATATCCTTACTATTTATGCTACAAAAATTGTCATATCATAAATGTTAGTACAATAAGAAACTAGCCCACAAAGAATCGGGAAACATTCATACACTAAATTTCCAAGAATTTTGTGAACTATTACTTAAGAGTTACGTATCCCAAATCTGTTTCAAATGTTAAATTTACATTAAGAATAACTTTTGCAAGAAATGTATTCACCACACCTAGTAATTTTATAAATTAAATTAATATTCCATTATCTTCAATTAATCCAGGAAGGAAGAGAGGGTCACGGCTGAGTCTGAACAGTAGTGTCCATCACCCAGAGGAGAGTTCACACTGAAACAGAGCAGGTTATCCTTGAGAGAGGAGGCCCACATGACCACAAATATGTTTTGAATTTTTAAAAAGGGAATCAACAGTTAAAAATCAAGAGAATTTACTTACAAAATCTGGACTTATGACTTCTCTTGAAAAACTGTAACCCCTAGTAAGTTGGGGCCTGCCCTTCAGCATTCCCCTGCGAATGGGGCCCTGCGCCACCCAGGACTGCAATAGCAATCACATGGTGAGGGAGGAGATGAGGGGAGTGGCAGGAGCCAGGAAGCAAGAGGCCCATCTGGGACAGAACCTGTCTAGAAGTGGAGGGACCTTGCATGAGCCAAGGCTCCAAGCTCCCAGCACATGCTCCGTTGTCTCAATAGAACTTCACTTACAAAACACAAAAGTCAAAGATAAAATTATTAAGAATTTAAAGACAGTATTTGCAGAGCATTAAACCTGAAGCATGAGGCCTGTCTGAGTGTGGGGCCCTGTGGTGCTGTACTTGTCACACACCCACGGAGCTGGCCCTGCCTGTTGTTCACAGTGAACTATTGAAAAGTCTCTGCCATATGCCCAGTACACCAAAGTAGAGGCCATTAAACCTCACTTGGTGCTTAATTTACACAGACTCTTAATGAGTTTATTCAAAATATGGTTTCCCCGCTGGGTTTTGGTTAATATACACACACATACACACACAAGTGCATATATTCTTTGCTCAGGTCTTATAAAAACCGGGGAACCTTAACAAAACCTTAAATTATGTTTAGGACACACTGTTTAAGAAGTTATGGAAGTGTGATTACATTTAAAATATTTTTCTTCATTCAAAAATACTTAGAATTGAAAATATCTGCAATTAAAGGGGATAGGTTTTAGTTATTGGTAAAATTTTAATTATGTAAAACAACTCATTATCTTTTGATGGTGGATATTTGAGGTGTTGGACTATCTAACCACACTAATTATTAGTTATATAATTTATGCTGTTTTAAAAATAAGTATATTTTTGTAGGAAAAAATTCCATACGTGGCTGAATTGTATGTTTGTATAATTTATCACAGTTATTCATTCTGGAGAATAGCCAAACCATTCTACCCATGTGGCTAAAACTAAGGCACCATGACATGAGGAAAGCTGCTGGAGTCATGAATACATAGCGTTCTCAGGAGGAAATCACCAACATCTATAGTTTCAGACCCATTCAATAATGATGAGCATCATAGTGACAGACCTGCATGTGTAGTTCCTCTTGTTCTTTCTTATACTTTTGGATTATTTCTTGGTGTTTTTCCTTTTCAATATCAAGTTCCAGTTTAACTTCTTCCTTAAAGAGAAGAGCTTGCTCCTCAAACTCAACTAAATGTCGGGCCCTTTCCTTGGCGAGTTCAACTTCAATCTAGAAAATAGCATTTCACACACATATAAAGCCATTTTACCTTAAAATAGGTAAATTAAGCTTATTTTCAGACTCTAATATTTAAAAAAAGATTCTAATTCTAATATTAATTTTTTAATTCTAATATTAAAAAAAATCTGGCTCAGAACTTGGGCCAGAAAAATTGACCTTGAGTCAAATATTTCTAGATCTTCCAAGATCTGTAAAATGAGTAGAAAAGTTAGGACAATATTTTATGACAGTTTTCAGAAATACTAAAAGCTTAGTCTTCTGTACATTTATTTATTTATTTATTTTTTTATTTTATTTTTCCCCCCAAAGCCCCAGTGGATAGTTGTGTGTCGTAGCTGCACATCCTTCTAGTTGCTGTATGTGGGACTCGGCCTCAGGATGAACGGAGAAGTGGTGCCTCGATGCGCACCCGGGATCCGAACCCGGGCCACCAGCATCGCAGCGCGCGCACTTAACCACCAAGCCACAGGGCCGGCCCTCTTCTGTACATTTATACTGTAAACTCAGTCCTTGCCAGCAACCCTGTAAGAAAAAAAATGATTTTGAGGCCCTTAGACTGAAAACTCAGAGGGGATACAAAGTATAAATGTTGGTTTTTTAAATGGTCCTTTCTTGATGGAGCCACAGATTATCATTTTAATGTGATTGGGCAGAAGTGACTGGAGGAAAACACAGGCAGTGATGCCTGCATCCATATTTTGACCCAGATAGAAGCACAGTGCTGGAAGGGACCTTAGAAATCCCCTAGTTTTATTTCTCAAGCTTCCGTGAACCGCAGAAAGAATAAACAAGGGCTTTGGATTCAGATGGAGTTGAGTCTAAATCTTGGCTCTAAATCCTGGCTCTCCCACTTTCTAGTTGTGTGATCTTAAGTTGTGACTATAACCTCTCCTGGTGGGATTATAACTAGTTCCCATGGGGGTCATTATGAGGATGAAATGAGATGAAACATCTGTGTAAGCTCGAGCACAAGCAGGAATTCAATAGTCGGTGGAGATCACTTCTATACCTCGAGCCTTCAGTCTCCACCATGGAATCTGCCCCGAACGATTGTCTGCTCTGTGCCTCAACACCACCAGCAACCATAAGTCACTCCTTCCACAGCAGGCGTTTCCAGTTTCAGAAAGCGCTAAGCATTAGGCAGTTTTTCCTTTAGCTGAGCCAACATCTGTCTCCGTGTGGTTTTTAACCATTGGTTTTGGCTCTGCCTACTGGAGCAAGAGACAGAACGAGTCTGTGAGGACTGGAGTCACTCAGGTCTGAGAGTTCGTCTAGTGAGGTTAGAGAGGGGAATCCCAGCCACAGGCCCGCTGTAGATTTACACAGTGCCATGATTATAAATTCTAATAGGGAGTAAATGCCAAATAACTCGGGACTCTGTGATTCAGGCACCTAAGAGGAGAAGGAGAAAGGTCAACCTGAATTTCTCAGGGGAACATGGAAACCAGGGTACCAGGAAACATAAAGTTTGCAGGAAGCCCTTTAAATTAAATAAAATGCAGATAGAAGACTAGCCCCAGTGTAGGGTCAGTCGGGTTTACTGCACTGGGTGTGGGACTGAGCGTTTTGTCCCAAGGGAAAACAATTATGTTTATACTCAATGCAAGGAGTTATTGTGGCTCTCTCAAAATAAGTTTCTGGATTGTTTGGGGAAAAGGATACTGATGATCATTTAGGAGCATGATAGAATTGTTCAGATGTGCTGCCCTCAGACTGCTGAAGACCAGGAAAGCATCAGGGGCGCTCAGAAAAATGAACAGATGTTCTTCTGAATTCCAGGTACTTATACCCACCTGCCTCCTGGTAGTCATTTAGATGCTTCACAGGTGTCTCAAATAAATTGCTGAACCAGCAATCTTGGTACAACCCCCTCCCCATCTGTTCCTTCCCTAGCCCTCCCCATCCCAGGACACAGCACCACCATCCATCTAGTTATTCAAGTCAGTAACTGGCGCATCATCTTTCACACCTCTCTCTCCCTTACCCTCCACACCTAATCCAGCACCAAGTCCTGCTCATTTGCCTCCAAAAGATGCCTTAAATCCATCCATTTCTCTACATCTCCACTTCTGCCACCCTAGTTCTGACTACCATCGCCTCCTGACTGGCCTCCTTACTTTCCACTCCCGCCTCTCTCCAATCCATTATCCACACAGCAGAGTGTTCTTTACAAAACATAAATTGGATTCTTTTATTCTTTCTTAGTGGTTTCTCAATGCATTAGTAGAAAATCAAAATTCCAATACATGATCTTCTACTGGGCACCACCAGCCCCTGTGACACCTGTGTGTGAATCAACACAGCACCCCTTCCTTAGATGAACACAGCCTTATGTGGGGCACAGGACTTGGTGAGCAGACACAGGCTGGAGTCCAGCTCCCTTCTCTCCCTTGGCCTGTGCTATTGTGCAGGGCACAACCTGAACACCGTCTATGCAGCCTGGACTTCTCCAACCTGACTTCCACCACTTTCCCCTTTTGATCACTGTGCCCCAGCCACACTGGAATAAAGTCTAGAACACATGAAATGAGGAAAACAAATGCAAAACATTTGGTAAAACTGCAAGGACTAACCTTAAGAGTTAATAGCCCACAAGATACCTTGACACTATTTAAAAAAAAAAAAAAACGACTAAACATTTTTTGAGAAGCTCAAGAAAAGTGTGCGCCGAAGTACTAAAATATCAAGTTTTCAAAAAAATTCCTCATGTGGTTAATTGGTAGAGCCAAATAGTTATTTCAGGAAAAAAGACACCTTTCAAAATATGGACTGATTGCTCAAATTAAGAGAACAAAAATGTACACAAACTGGGTGGGACAGGACAAACTGTAAATTAGATGACAGAAGGACTTTAGAAGAACTTATAAAAAAAGAAGTTCTTTAATGAAGAGTCCCTTGATGAAGATGAAACAAAGGAAGCATTCAGGGAAGAAAAGGGATGGCTGACTGCTTGAATGAGTAGAATGTTCTGTTCTACCTGAGTCAGGAGGCAGGAGATCTTCTTGCCCTTGGACTATTCTGTGGAATGAACTATTGTAGGTAAAGAGAGAAAAAAAGGAAGGAATAGATGGAAGGTGGGAAAGAAAAGCCTGTAGATAGGAGGGAGAAAAGTGATTTTCTGTTACCAATTTGATTTCTAATTTGCACAACCTGAGAAAGAGAAGCAACATGATGAGCTTCAGGTGGGATTTCTAAACATTTACGGAGCTGCACTGGGTGCCAAGAGCTGTCCCGATGTGTTGGCACTGCAGCAGAGAGAGATGACTCTGGTGGTTCCTTCATGATCCGAATAGTTTGAAAAAATGATGAGCCCACAAGCACGATGATTTACTTAAGCCAGTATAGTATTTGTCATTGAGAAGATGAATTCATGCCAAGTTGTCCTATTTATGTTTTTTACATGTTGATAGGAGCTGTTCGTTTAAAATGTCCTAGATGGCAGGACTTCCGTTTATGCAAAATAAAGAATTTGGTGATGGTGCATATATAAAATATGAGCTTCTTTATACAATAACTAATATTAGTTTTTACAGTAAATGGAGAAATTCTGATTTCTGAAAAAGAAAGCATGAATAATATATGAGCTCAAGAGTTGCACAAAGTCAATTATTATCTGTGTACACATTCCAGGTGTTAATGCTTTGTGCTTTTTGTTTATCCATATCCTCCTCTAGCCCACTCTCCCTCATTGGTGAAGGCTTCCTGGTGACTCCAGAGCATTCTGAGTATGTCCTTTTTTAATTCCTTTCATATTTGTTTTTGAAATGCAAAATTAGTGTTTTATAACATCTGTGTCTAATACTGATGTGCAAAATACTATCTTTTCACTAATTATTTTCCAAGTGAGGTCTTTGTGGTTGATATTTATATCCTTTTCTAGCTGTCTGTGGAGCCAGACATCATGTTATAACATAACCACTTATTACTTGGTAACCCCTTTAAAACCAAGGGAATTTCAGATGCCAAAGTAGAAATTAGATTATTTGTTTATATTTGATGTACGTATATCATTTTTGAAAGTATATGTCCTAAAAATAAAATTTTACACTATTTTCCAAAAGTTAAAAACAAATATTTGTTGAAAACTAATACTTCAGATTATTTCTGAATTAACTCCTGAATAAATATATTATAAAAATAGATGATTATTTAAATACACATACTTTGTAATAATAACTAAAAAAAAAAAAAACGATGCTAAGGAATCAGAATATGTATTGAAGTCCTGCCAAGAATTGTGTAAAATTATGACGGAAGGAGGGAATGTTCACTGAGTACCTAATACCAGCTAGGGTGGCATGGTACAGGACAATTTCCATCTATTCACTCATTCAATTCTTACAACAACCCTGGGAAGAACATATAATAGTTATTACTCCCACTGTCTAGATTAGGAAATAGGCCCAGAGAGGTGAAGTACTCTGTGAAGTACACAGAGATCACAGAACCACTACGAGGTGGAGAGGGTGTGCACACTCCATGTCTCTGGTGGCCTCCATAGCTCGGCATGTCTAGTTCTTCCTGTCTCCCCACACATCTACTCAGCATAGTGGTTAAGGGCAGGGACTTGCTATTTATTTTGTTTCAAAATATTTGGAGATTTTTCCTGATAACCTTCTGCTAATGAATTCTAATTTAATTCCATTGTAGTCAGAGAAAATACTTTGTATGACTTGAATTCTTTTAAATTTATTGAGACTTATTTATGCCCCAGAATATAATCTATTGTAACAAATGTCCCATGTGCACTTGAGAAGAATGTGTATTCTGCTGTTAAATGGAGAATTCTACAAGTATCAATTAAGTCATGTTTGCTAATAGTGCTGTCAATATATCTCAAAAATAAATTATTAGTAGTATTTTCCATAGTATATATCCTTACTGATTTTCTGGACGTTTTTGTATCAACTATTAAGAGAGAGCTATTGATACCTCTGACTCTAATTATGGGTTTGTCTATTTCTCCTTGCAGTTCTAGCAGTTTTTGC